CGGGCCTTCGGCGTGACGAGCGAACGCTTTAACCATTAGGCTACCCCACCCCCCGGATAAATATTTTAGTGCAATATCCAGCTTTTTGCCAGACATGACATGACCATGGGCATATAATGATTAGTTTGCTGTTGGTTTGTTGTTTAATTGTAGCAATATTCCAGCTATATTGCAGCGGTCTGTAAATAATCGAGTCTGGACCAGACAATTCAGTGATCAACAGCAGACCTACACGGATAGCATATCATGAAGGCAAACTAGTTACTGATAGCATGAACAATGCAACTACCACCAACGTCACATACTTTGATGATTTGTTCGGCCGATGTTCAGTCAAGGGTCGGTTTATTTCACAGAATCCCAAAACGGTGCACATATTTGGAACTACAAATAACATCTTGTAACATCAATAGTATCTTGTACAAATCTCAATAATTACAGGTCTACTTACTAAAACAGAGAATTGATTAAGTCACTTCTAAAAAACTTTTACCGGTGAGATGTTTCATATTGAGATGTAAATGTTGGGAGTTAAGAGTCTTACACTTAGTCCTCAGGTAGCGAAGTAGCGTCACTGCTGGATCCGGGTTCGACTCCACGACCTGGTACAGTTAACATCAATAGCTTTATAGTTGGATGCTATTATTCCGGTTTATGATACAAATTATATTTGCGCAAATATCATATTTAAGCAGCTCTTAAATTTGATTACCCATTTTTTTTAGATGTTGGTCATAAACATAACAAATTTAAAGCTCTAGATGTCTTCAGAAAAAAATGAAATATGCGAAACCCGAGAAAAATAATGATGTTCAGATCCAAAAGTGTTTCAAATATATTCTCTGAATCATATTTCCGTCATAAACCAAGTATTGACCTGATATTTATGATAACTATGTACGACCATTACATCAATTCTTGTCGTATTAAAGTAATATGATTTATACCTCAGGGCCACCCAGGTAGCGATAATGGTTGTTGCTAAATACGCAGTTCAAGCTCTCTTCTTTATTGCATATATAATTTAAGAAAAGCTATGCATGCCAAGATACACAGAGAAACCCAGTTGTAAGAAATTATGGCTGAGATTTGTTCCAATTATGGATGAGGTTTGCCAGTCACCAGTTGTGGGCGTGGGTTCGAATCTGAGTATAATTCTAGGTATGTCAGCATCCGGAGTATTTGTAAAACATATTGCTTCACCGTGTACTATTTCGGGCTTTTGTCCAGGTTAGGCTGACATGCCGAGTTACAACAGAATTACTGTCCAAAACGACGTTAAACTCAAGGAACTCACTCCTACGTTTCTACGAGTCGTTGGCATCAGTACTTGTCACTGTTAGAGCAGAGTGGAGATTGTAATTTTTTCCAAAATGGTCATTAATCTTCTTAAAAACTTTTCAAACCACCCTTTAGCACATCCTCGATAATCTCCAGGATATATGTTCCGATAAATCTGCACTATACCCTGGATGCATCTACGGCTCGGTCCGATAATTTTATTCCCTCCCTTGGCTGGATCTGCATTCTCACAGTAATCAGGCAAATAAGCCGTTACAACTGAACGTGTCAGTGTCAACAAAGATATCGGTCGCAGCCGCGGAAGTTTGCTCGCTGTGCGATTCAGATGTAGTAGGGAAATCATACAGACAAATTGACAAGTCTGAAACCTTAAAAAATATACACAGGAACTCCTTCTACATCTTTCAGAGTACCTCTGCAATAATTGTGTTGCCAGGTTTAATCGGTTAGATAAAACAAGCGAAAGGGAGTTATGATAGAAACCTTGTGATTGGTACCCTCAACTTCCCGGCGTAAACACCTGATTGGATAAAAAGCCAGCCAAGGGAGGTAATAAAATCATCGGGCCGAGCCGTAGATGCATCCAGGGTATAGTGGAGGTTTATCAGAACAGTCAGTATTAACTAGTTGAACTTTTGATTGTATAGACATATCTTCCAAACCACACAATCAGCTTCTTCAGAATTGAAGACCTAAGTCTTACCTTGTTTCCATTGACAAAGAACACCAGCTTGTCGTCCATAGTCTTATCGGTAACAAGCAGCTCACCACAGACCTTCGTTGTGCCACAGCTAGACAGAACTAAATTGTTCAAAAATAAAACATTTACACAAACTTTATATAGTGTTACAATATCAATAGGTGACATCATGAAAAGAGAGAGGGTGCTTTGTTTAGAGGCAATTGAAATGTAGGTATTAGCATTAGTAATCCAGCATTTCTCAGAACAAAAACATTGGGATTAGTCGTAATTAATTTGCCCTGCATTCGTTCAGCTGATGCCTGGTTGTTTAGTTGACTTAATAAATCTAACCATTGACTTGCTATTTCAATTAAAAATATGATCCGTTTGATTAATGGAAGAGCTTAAGCTGAATTCAAATTCCATGAACCTTAACCGAAAATCATAATCAACATGATTAAATGATTTTTATTCAATTATCAACAAGCATCATATTACAAGCATAATACGAGATGGCATTTGCATGCTAGTTGTTCCTAACAAAGAGCTGTTAAAGTGTGAGGTCAGGTCAAAATGTTGATGTCCAATCTGGGATAGTTTGTTTGTTTGTTTGTTGGTTGTTTACCGCCGCACTCAGCAATATTTGAATCTGGACCAGACAATCCAGTGATCAAACTGTAATACGCAATTGTAATACGATGACATTTGTCATGAGCCTGACCACCCGATCCCGTTAGTCGCCTCTTACGACCAATCTTGGTTAGGCAAACAATAGTCGATATCATTGTTCGCTTTGTCAAAGACCAAACTCAGTCAGTCAGTCAGTCATTGTTCGCTTTGTCAGAGACGGAGGGCTGCTTTTATCAGTCATTGTCAGTTATAGTCGGTGTTTAACGTCTACATCTAAATCAACTACATCTTCATCAACGACTCCCTCTGTTCGAAATTCGGTGAAAAACTGTTTATTGTTTGTCAAGTTTTGTACAATGTAAATAATTGTTTCATATCTGTAAGAATTACAGAACTTAAAAGGTTTGCAGACTTATGTGTATGTTTGAGCCCTGAACATTGGAAGTGTGAGCGTTTTGCTCCAGAATGCCTTGCAAAGACGTTTCAGAATGCGGGGCTGTGGGGTAGCCTAGTGGTTAAAGCGTTGGCTCGTCACGCCGAAGGCCCGGGTTCGATTCCCCACATGGGTACAATGTGTGAAGCCCATATCTGATGTCCTCCGCCGTGATATTGCTGGAATATTGCTAACAGCAGTGTAACACTAAACTCCCTCACTTTTAAAAATTGGAGACGACTTATTCTTCAGTGATTATACCAAAGGCCAGTCACGTGTCAAAACCTACCCGTGAATATCTGGGTTAGGACGGGTCCTCAGAAACCCGTGCTTTTTTCGTAAGAGGCGACTAATAGGATCGTGTGGTGACACTGGCTGATTGGTTGATGCATGTCCTCGTATCCAAAGGTGTAGAGCAATGCTCATGATATTGATCACTGGTTATGATGTCAGACAATAGCCCGTGACACCTCATGCACTCTCAAGTAACATCAACTACAACAGAGTCACCCTTTGCAAGTCGTTTGTTACATGCGTTCAGCCAATCTACAAATTCACCTCGGCACTCTCTCTACTATGGAATCCTAGAAGGGACATTGTCGCTATGTCGCATTGTCGCGTTGTCAAGAACAAGTAAAGTGAGGCAAAATAAACCAAAACGCGACACGCGACATCGCGACAACGCGACATTTCGCCCATTTGTCGCATTGTCGAGATGTCGCGTGTCGCGTTTTGACTAATATTTTTCTATTCCTCCAAAGGGCGACACGCGACATAGCGACAATTTTCAAGGTCAAAATATGTTGCGTTGTCGCGCGTCGCCTTTTAGTCATATGTTATAATACATACTATACTCAATATTTTAACAAAGCGCGACGCGCGACAATGCGACAACGCGACATTTCATCAAAATGTCGCGTTGTCGCATTGTCGCATGTCGCGTTTTTAGTAAATTTTAGGCTGTTTTACATCTTACATAGGGCGACGCGCGACAACGCGACACATTTTGACCTTGAAAATTGTCGCTATGTTGCATGTCGCCCTTTGGAGGAATGAAAAAATATATTATTCAAAACGCGACACGCGACAATGCGACAAATGGGCGAAATGTCGCGTTGTCGCGATGTCGCGTGTCGCGTTTTGTTTAATTTTGCTTGTATTTGAGAGGGCGACAACGCGACAACGCGACAATGCGACAACGCGACAATGTCCCTTCCAGGATTCCATACTCTACACAGATAAATATGTAGGCCACTGGTCCATGTGGACATTATCGAACAGAATTTACAAACGCAGCATTAAAAAATGAAAAAGGAACATACCTGTGTGTAGTTGCTTGACAGCAATACTGCACTGTTTGCAGGGGCGGATACAGTTTTGGAAAGGGGGGGTGCACACTATTGAGAAATGGAGGAGTGTACACTTCATTTTTACTCGAGTTTCAATGGTCATTTAACAAACTTTCAGCACAAGGGGTATATGCGCACCCAACCCCCCAACCCCAACCAACCCCAACCCCAACCCCCCAACCCCTCTGGATCCGCCTATGGTTTGTCAGCTTGTTTACTATTGCAACCCTGATACGCGCAGTTATTGAGTTCAGTTAAACGACCCTTGGACAGTATTGCAGGGCCTATCAGATGATACGGGACGACAGTGATGCAAGTGTTATAAGTAATAATGAATAGTGGTACACAGGGATATCTGAGAATTATACCCCATAAACTGAAGGTATTGCCAACCTTAACAAGCATATGGTTAAGATTCAACAAAGTAGAGGATATTAAAGTGTCTTACCTGCGTAAGTAAATGACGAGTGTAGAGCCCCGGAGTGATTTGTGACTGACTGTTGCCCGTATACATACTCTAGATTACCCTACTATGTAACTACAATGACGATGGTTGCTACAGTGAACTTTAGTCGCCCTGTCTCGACCCTGTTATGTGCTTAGAATGGCGATGAGGCTGTTAACACGAACTTTAGTTACTTTGGACAGAAACAGGTAAGAGTTTTGAACGAAGGAATTGATGACAACGGTGTTCAAGGCGAAATTCACAATGAATTAGATTAGCTGTTCAGCCTGTATGCTACCGTTTGTTATCATGGTACATTATGGTAATCATGATAATTTGATTCGATGATAAGCATGGCTGTAAATACAGATAAATGCTTTGAGCCTTAATGATACGTGTTAAGTTTGGAGTTTAACTCATCTGTTCAGCACGATAAGAGATACAGGTCCTGCAATATCTGGATTATGTCTGATTCTCGTTATCATTGTGACCCAGGAGAGGATTAAGATTGTGGGACGTGGTGATCCTGTATTATCTCTGATGCGCGTTATCTTGTGACCCAGGAGAGGATTAAGATTGTGGGACGTGGTGGTCCTGATTATGTCTGATGCGCGTTATCTTGTGACCCAGGAGAGGATTAAGATTGTGGGACGTGGTGATCCTGTATTATCTCTGATGCTCGTTATCTTGTGACCCAGGAGAGGATTAAGATTGTGGGACGTGTTGGTCCTGGATTATGTCTGATGCGCGTTATCTTGTGACCCAGGAGAGGATTAAGATTGTGGGACGTGTTGGTCCTGGATTATGTCTGATGCGCGTTATCTTGTGACCCAGGAGAGGATTAAGATTGTGGGACGTGGTGGTCCTGGATTATGGTCTGATTATGCGCGTTATCTTGTGACCCAGGAGAGGATTAAGATTGTGGGACGTGATTGGTCCTGGATTATGTCTGATGCTCGTTATCATTGTGACCCAGGAGAGGATTAAGATGGTGTGATTATGTCTGATGGACATGATTAAGATTGTGATCCTGGATTCTCTCTGATGCGCGTTATCTTGTGACCCAGGAGAGGATTAAGATTGTGGGACGTGTTGGTCCTGGATTATGTCTGATGCGCGTTATCATTGTGACCCAGGAGAGGATTAAGATTGTGGGACATGGTGATCCTGTATTATCTCTGATGCTCGTTATCATTGTGAACCAGGAGATGATGAAGATTGTGGGACGTGGTGATCCTGTATTATCTCTGATGCTCGTTATCATTGTGAACCAGGAGATGATGAAGATTGTGGGACGAGGTGGTCCTGAATTATGTCTGATGCTCGTTATCATTGTGACCCAGGGAAAGATTAAGATTGTGGAACATGGTGATCCTGGATTATGTCTGATGCTCGTTATCATTGTGACCCAGGGCAGGATTAAGATTGTGGAACATGGTGATCCTGGATTATATATGATGCTCGTTATCATTGCGACCCAGGGAAGGATTACGATTGTGGGACACGGTGATCCTTGATTATGTCTGATGCTCGTTATCTTTTTGACCAAGGGAAGGATTACGATTAAGGAACATGGTGGTCCTGTTTTATTTCTGATGCTCGTTATCATTGTGACCCAGGGAAGGATTAAGATTGTGGGACATGGTGGTCCTGGATTATGTCTGATGCTCGTTATCATTGTGACCCAGGGAAGGATAAAGACTGTGAGACATGGTTATTTTTCCTGTATTATTCGCTATTTCCAATCGCACATAACGTGATAGAATTTATGTAAAACTTTGTCCAGCCTCTTCACGTCAATGCGTACGTTGTCAACACTTGTATAGGTTGAACAGTCGTCGAAACTGCAAACATAATGCCCAGAACACAACCATGATTCCGTATGAAATAGATCACCATTGGTACTTTTTTTTTCTTGTTTTTCATTTATACAACCATCAGACATCTGTGTACAGTTTCTTTAGGACTGAATTTATTTTATGAATGATAGTGTTACCAATATCCTAAACATATTGACTCAGTTGTACGCAGTACATGTTTTCACACTTCGGAACCCTAAATCTGTTGTTTAGTTTGCTTGTTGTTTAACGTCACACTCCGCAATATTCCAGCTTTATGGCGGAAGCCTGTAAACAATCCGGTCTGGACCAGACAATCCAGTGATCAACATCATGAGCATTGACTCAACCAAGTCAGCGAGCCTGAACGCCCGATCCCGTTTTTCGCCTCTTGCGACAAACATAGGTCACTGAAGATGATTTCTTACCGGGAGGCTTCACGGGTTTGGACACATTGTGAAAAAAACGCACATGTGTGTTTGAATGCCTCACCGTTCATGGCACTATTCTTATTAAAACGTCGAACCAGACTACACAGTTCTGTTAGCTATGTTCTTTGTAATGTAACATGACGGTATATATTGTTCATGATGTTTTAAACATTCACCTAATGCCATAACCGACTAAAGTATTCGTGATTATTTTTATTATCTGTTTTATTAATTGTTCAACACAACACTGCCACGAACACGGCGCTATCACTACACAGCACAGGTTGATGTCCCTATATTGTCAATAAAGTATCCCCATCACGTATACATTTACATTTTTATATTGCCATGAAATCATTAACTTCATCACTGACCATACACATATTTCACCCAAATCAGTCACTACTTACTGTAAGGCGACACACCTTGAAATACTACATATACACAGGGGCGGTGGGGTAGTCTAGTGGTTAAAGCGTTCGCTCGTCACGCCGAAGACCCAGGTTCGATTCCCAACATGGGTACAATGTGTGAAGCCCATTTCTTGTGTCCCCGCTACGATATTGCTTTAATATTGCTAAAAGCAGCGTAAAACTAAACTCTCTCACTCAATCCTACATATAAAGACTTCAATGCCATAAGTAACGTAAAAATTATCTCTCAGAACATTTTCATATTTCATGTTTCACTTAAAGTACCAACAAATGGTAGCTCCTGGTAGGTAACTGTATTCTCTATCTCTATCCTCACACCAGCATACTATATTTTTGTTTCAGTCACGTACATGACGTATGCCGAGGATCGTGACCAGCATTCGTGACAGAAATCTGTCAACTCAAAAATAACTTCGTCAACGCTTTTGTGTACGGCATTTTTACTGTATCTTCAAAACATACACTAATTATATTTCAAATACTGTTACTTAGCTTCACTCACAGCAATTTTACTCTATCTTCAAAGCTTACACTAATTATATTTCAACTGCTGTTTGCTTCACTCACAGCAATTTTACTTTATCTTCAAAACATACACTTAATATATTTCAACGGTGCCCCCTCAATCTTCGGTATGTAAAGCAAACAATACATTTCAACTTATAAGTTTATTCCTTGACAAAATAATTTTATAAATAAATCGCATCTGTTAAAAGGTATTTTTTGTCATTTACAGTGTATATATTTTTCTAATTGTAACAATATCTATAAAAATGTGTATAAATATTAAAATTGATTGTTGATTTGCTAAAAATATAAAATTATTAAATATTATAGCAATAGCTTAGCAATACAAATGCTAAACATAACATGTGAAAATGCTAAAATGCCTAAATTACAACATACAAACTCAAATCAGAAATCAAAGCTAAATATGCTCATTGTCTATATAAAGCCCCTATATTTTTAGAAATGAGTCAAGCCCGTTTGTTAATTGGATGAGTCCACTTGTGAGTAAGGTAAAACCAAAGCAAAATGTAGGGGTACTGAGATAACATGCATTGAGTAAGTGTAGGTGAACTGGGGTGTAGGTGAAATAAGAGTGTAGGGGTTATGGGTGTGAACCATTTCAACTGCTGTTAACTTCACTCGTAGTAATTTTACTCTATCTTCAAAACATACACTAATTATATTTCAACTGCTGTTAGCTTCACTCACGGCAATTTTACTCTATCTTCAAAACATACACTAATTATATTTCAACTGCTGTTAGCTTCACTCACGGCAATTTTACTCTATCTTCAAAACATACCACTAATTATGTTTCAACTGCTGTTAGTTAGCTCGTTAACTTAGTTGACATATGTCATCGTATCCCAATTGCGTAAATCAACGCTCATGCTGAAAATAGCTGTAATCTTGTATTCTTGTTATAATTTTGCCGTGATGTTGCTGTGATATTGCTGATAACGATACGAACTGATTGGTAACGGCGTTAGTACCTGCGCCGAAACGTCGCATTCGTTTCAATAAAGAAGTTGGTTATCCATAGAATTTGGTTTTCCTTGACACGAACTAAGGTTCAAATACTCGCTAGCTTTGACTTTCTGCTTTCATTCATATTAACCTTGGCTGGAAACTGGAAAGAAAATAATATCGTCAGTTCTGGAGATCGGGTTAGTTCTGTTCAAATCACTGCTCACACATTAAACTGCAATCACATCACGTATGCGACCATGAGCTGTTCAGTCAGCCATCGTGACGGTAGTACACAATCTAGTATTGTGGCAACACTTTGACAGTCGGTCAGTACAAAGGCAGCTCTGTGATGGGAGATACCGACGCTTTGGTGTTCTTCGTGAACGGTATAAAGGTGAATTTTCTTACTGTTTTATATCATTATGATGATATATGATACATATGATACATAAATGATACAGTTAAACGATGCACTTATATGGTTCACTCCGTTGAACCGGAAGCTGTCAGGAGTAATGGAGGCAAAGAACTATTTCATATACCACGAGTCGCGCTTAAAATGTTGAATGTAATATATATTGAGTGAGTAATTATTAAATATGAGGTTGGAAATCTGAGAGCACAACCTTTGATGGTGGCGATATTTTATTTTGACATTAAAAATATTTTTCGAACCGAAACGAGGGAAGTACGTTGCCAGCCTTTGCTCGTTTGGCTTGCATATAGAAAGACTGATCATTTTCTCTTTGTTGCGCAACCCTTTTTGCGCTACAGTTTGCCTGTGCTTGGCCATGGCGGTGCTTACGTCCAGATTAATGAGGTTTTGCTGTTTGTGGGCCATGCACTATGGTTGATACGCTGTACAAGTTCACGATGGCTTCAGAGTTTGAATATTTAATCACAATCACAAATATAGACACAAAATGTGTATGTTATGAAATATGTACGAATACAATATTTTCACTTGTATTGTAAACATTATCAAAGAAAACATGCACAAAACACTCAATTTGGATTTTATGCAAAGGAAATAGGTGTTTGTTGAATGAATACTTGCCTTCGTTTCAAATATTGAAAAACTAAATAGAACCATTAACTATTGTTTTCGAAGGTATAGGAATAAATGAATGACAATAATGTTTGTCGCTGTACGTGAATACCATTTCAATGCAGTTTGTTTATTCAGCATGTTCGGCCTCCGGCCCATATACAGATGACACCAGCAGCAGGTTGAAACTTGCAATTTACAAAATTTGACGTCTCAGACTTAGTGCATGATGACGATAAAGTTGTAGCTTAATAATAACGTTTGTATCGTTAGATGCCATTAAGTTGATGAAACTATGTGTTTATTATAGCATGTTCAGACAAACAGTAGGTATTTAGATCTTAGGATTTCATGAGCTGGACATATCATAACAAAACGAAATTCATCCTCAATCATGTCTAACTTACACCCTTTACACTGTCGCAGTGTTCTTATTACGTTTTAATGTCGCCCGGGTTCAACTTGTAATCTGGCCACGCCAATATGCAGTTTCGTCAAGTCGCGACGATATAAGGAACAGTCACCATGCGTTAAATACAATTCCGGTTGTAAATTCAATGTAAATGAAGAATAAGAGTCCTATTTCATACTACATTACAAGCTAGTTTTCCATTCCTAAATTAACGGAAATACTGCAACACTGCCAACACCTTAACGTAACCAAACCCGTAGCTAAATAGAACTTGCTTAATTCCTTTGATCCTCTATGTTTTATGTGGACCAGACAACATACAGCAGCTCTGACCTTCTGTGTTTCATACACCTGTTGATCCTATACCTTCAGAAAGAACGAAGCTGTAACCGGTCAATTGTTTGATCCAACTGTACATGTTATAGTTTGTGACTTCCTGTCTGTTACACATCTGTCTGATCCTACTTTACATGCTATAGTTTGTGTCCTCCTGTCTGTTACACATCTGTCTGATCCTACTTTACATGCTATAGTGTGTGACTTCCTGTCTGTTATACATCTGTCTGATCCTACTTTACATGCTATAGTTTGTGATCTCCTGTCTGTTACACATCTGTCTGATCCTACTTTACATGCTGTAGTTCGTG